CCCCCACCTTTTTGACCTTGAGCCAATTTGCAGTTTTCAGTAAACCTCGGGGGCTGTTTCGTTGTACCACCGGCCTCTGGCATGCTGCAGACAATCAGATATTAATGGCTTGTGTGAGTTTGACCTTCGTCTATCCACCTGTGTCCTGCAGTGTGAGCTGCAGGTGTCCTGAGCTTCAGTGGCGTGGACAAGGTAATCATTAATAACAACTGACGTGTGGCTGGCTGGTGCCAGCTAAATCATTCATTTTATATTTTTAATGGACATATTATTTATTGTATTAAATAAAGCATTAATAAACATGCTAATAAGATAAAACTCCTTTTTTTTTTTTTTTTTTTTTTTTGGTTGACTAGCTACTTGCTCACCGCTTGATTCAAGTTTTGTAAATCTGTTTTCACGTTTTCCACAACCAAAGACACATAAACGAGCACATTTCAAGTCCAGTCATGCTTCAGCAAAAACTACAGCCCGCACTCGGACACGGATGACACCACCTGTCCATTATTTTTAGAAGGACAGCTCAGTAGGCCTCTGAGGTGTTCTCATCAAGGTTGTTACTTTCTTTTTAGATCAAACTAAATGATCGTTATACAGTCGAAGAGGAAGAAAAAAGCAGCTCACAGGTCAGACTTTTAGGTTGTTTTTTTGTTTTTTTACTTTATTGTGCTTTTTAAACTCTTGAGTCTTAAATGGTGACTAAACATGCAAATCAGAAAAATAATAACAGAGGTGATACATTGCAGCCTGAAATAGAACCTAAACAAATTGAAATCTCTGAATGGGAGCACTGATGTAATGGTTTAGTGGACTGCATTCTCATGTTTGTAACGAGTGGTTATTTGAGTTACTGTTACCTTCCTATCAGCCTGAAGCAGTCTGGCCATTTTCCTCTGACCTCTGACATCAAGAACTGCTGCTCACTGGATATTTTTTCCCTAGAGATGGTTATGGAAAAATCCCATTAGATCAGCAGTTTCAGACCAACCCATCTGCCGCCAACAACCATGCCACATTCAAAATCACCTAAATCACCTTTCCTTTCATTTCTGATGCTCAGTTTGAACTTCAGGAGATCATCTTCATCATGTCTGCATGTCTAAGTATTGATGTATTGAGTTGCTGCCATGCGACTGGCCGATTAGACATTTGCATTAACAAGGAGTTGAGCAAATGCACCTCATAAGGTGGCTCGTAAGTGTATACCCTCCCTTTTGTTTTTATCTGTTTGCAGCTTGTGAAACAGAGCAGGAAATTCCTCTAGGACTGCAGGACTCACAGACACACAAACTAGGAGGAGTGCCAAGACCGAATCCCAACACACAAAACACACTCACTTGCAGATAAAAACAAGAGTAGGTTAAAAGACACTGAAAAGACAAGGGAGACCTGGGGTGTATACACACAGATACTACGTGGACAAACCGGAGTAGTGGAAACGTGTGAAAAATGAAGAGCTGAAACTAATCAAAGGCAATGGGACAAGAGAGGTAAAACTAACTATAAAGCACAAATCAAAACAGCACAGGAACCAGCATGACATAGAAACAAGTACCACAAAGACAAGATACAAGGGAACATGGGGGTACCAGTAAAAACGGAAAATAAACTACATCTCTAACCGCAACAGTCTTACTTTAAAAAAAGGTACCAAAACTAAGAAACGTAAAGAGTAAACTGAGAAAACAATTAAGGAAATTATACCGGAAATATCTACCCGAAAAAACATCATTCAAAACTCAAAACGTAATGAACACAGAAGTCTACACTCGCCTAGAAAGGAAGCACAACTAAGAACAATGAAACTCATCCCAGGACCTACATATTAATAGAAACCCCTTAGACAACAGCCACAAAACCCCAGGTCCATGATAGTTTGTGTTTCTATCTTCCCCTATGCTCCAAGGCTCCTGGGTCTTTTTAGTCTTTTTAGGACGTTTGCAGCTCAATCAAGTGATCATTTTTTCTAATGTCTTACGCCTCAGTGTACTGCATTTGGGTCCTCTCTTCTCCTTACGTAGCTTTTTTATTTTCTGGTCTTGGCTCTGTATGATGCCACTGAGATGAGATACTCCAGATCAGCTCATTTCAGGCACATAGCTCTGGCAGTAAAACCTGCTTACTGTTAGCACTATCACTGTTTAAATATTTTGCTTCCAAGAGGCAGCCAATCAAATGAAAACAGCCTTAAAGGGAGGGTGGCCTAACAATGATTGATTAAAGGATTATTATTTTGAACTCTAAATCATCAAAACTATTATGGCAGAATCCAAAAAATATATATTTAGATGGAAACGAGAGTACCCCTTTAGATTGTGTTTACTCAAGGCTCTTTGTGATGTGTCTCAATCAGCCTCATGGTAGCAGTTTGGGATTCAGAGTGTTTCTGAAAGAGTCACTAACCATGTCATTGACACATAACCTACTCTGCCTCCTTAGCCACAGGTATTGTAATACCTAATGAAATGACATTGAAATGTCAGGTAATAAGACTATAGCTGCTGAGTGGAGTGCTTCTAACATGCCTGCCTGCTTTGGCAACCTCACTCACACCCATAAACTGTCCTGCCTCTCTGCTCTTGTAGCGCCGGGTGTGCTGATCTCATTCTTTGTAAGTGAATTTTCTGAGAACAGCTGAGTGGACTTTACATGCTGCTGCTTTCAGAGCAAGCCATTGTACTCCCTGCTCTCCATCTGAACTTAGCCCTGCAGGGATCAGATCAGTGTGCATTTAATTAAAGCATAGGTAATGCACTAGGTGGATAGATAATCCATTTTAGTTACGATACCCCCTCCTCTCATAATTATTACACTGTTTCTATTTCCCTATAAGGGGTGATCAGGTCGCCTGTTGGCCTTCCTCTCCACTCTATCTGTCTCCATCTTTCTGTCGTGCATTCTCATCAGGCTCCTGCAGAACTGACTACATGATGCGGTACTGCAAGCCTGTCGTCACTTTCATGGTAATCTGTGCTGCTTGATTGTGTGCTGTTGCATGTAATCAGTCTCAGTTGTGTTTTCCGTGAGTTTTCGTCCTGCTGCTCATCAGTGACGGTTGGAACTGTTCAAACAAACACACAGTTGAGCAAATACGAAGTTGTTAAGATTTCTGAGAGCCATGCCTTATGATGAATGAAGGTCTTTTATATTTTTATTTTGTTGCAATGAGGTTTGATTACATCAACAAGAGTGGGCCCTTTGGAATCAATACGTTTTTCATCAGCTCGTTTTGATGTGATCAATACATTCTGCTGTTTCTCTATTCACTTTGAACAGTGAGGACAGATGAGCTCTTGGTTGATCAGGGCCTGGAGACAGCTGTCTTCTTTAGGATTTGGGACACATTTACGTTATACAGTACTGTGCAAAAGTCTCAAGGCACCCTTATTTTTTGTATTTTGCCAGGAAAGTGGGAAGGAGCTGCAGCAGTCACAGTCAAACATACATGGAAAGGTTGAAGTTCAATATTTGGCGTGACCATCTATATTCTTCAATACAGCCTGAACTCTATTAGGCAAGCTTTCTTGTCATTTCTTTAAGCAGTCTTCAGGCTTTTTGAAGGATTTTTAAAGCTCATATTTGGATGTCGGCTGCCTTTTGTTCTGTTCTGTGGTGGGATGCTCTCACACTGCTTCAATAATGTTGAGATCTGGGTTCTGCCACTTCTTCTTTTTGAATTTTTGTTGATTCAACTGAAGAAATAAGAACAAATGACATATTTTTAAGACAAACAAAACAAGCAAACAAAAAAATCTGTCTCCTCTGAAGCAAAATATAAAGAAGTAAGGGCCGACTCAAGGGTTTTGCACACTCACTCAAACTTTTATATTTTCCATCCTTCTCCTAAAGTTGCATCGTTAATCAGCAACATAGCAATATGGGAAAACGTATTCATCTCGCTACCTGCCTCCACCCACTCACCATCGCTGCTTCCTCTTTCCAATTAAGCTCACCAAGACATGCTGGATGATTATGGAGGAACTTATTTCCAAAAGGCATGCCTCAGTTAGTCTGGCACTACAGCAGATGGGGATTGTGAGAGTAACACTCATTCATCCTGGCAAGCTAACCAGCACTCTGTCTGCAATTAAGAAGTTGTGGGCAGTCAAGTGAACTCAGTGTTTTTCGCATCAGTATTGCATGTTGCTGCTAAAAAGAGTGGGAAAAAAGACTCTGGGTTACCATTACATAAAGTGTGTTACTGATAAAAGAAAATTGAAATCCAGCCCATGGCCCTAAATTTCAGTGAATGGTGTATATTAAGTAATAGCATCCTAATCTACTTTTTTCAGCCTCATTCAAGCCTAAAGGTAAAACCTTTCCTTTCCCCCCCCTTCTTTTAAAAAAATAAATAAATAAAACTCTTATTTCTAGTGTCTGTAAGTCACTAGTAGGGCAGTAATTCTGCAGCACATGCTGAGGAAGCAACCTTGGACAGCTTGCTGTCTGTTCGTGACACCTCTTGTATTTCAAATTAATTATAATTCTGATGGCTCAAAAAACAATCCAAGCACAACTGTACAGTAGACTATAAATAATGGATGGGTAGATGCACTGAGGGATTTAATTTAACACAGAGTAAGGGAAAGAGAATGACCCATGAGAAGCAATCATGTGGCGTAAATTGGCCTGGGGGCTGATGAACTCAGATGTGTGGTAGTGATGCTGTTATAAAAAAAATGAGCCAGTATGTGTCGCTCTTACCCCAAGTAGCCCGAGCACATTTTGGTGTGCGCGTTGCTTTACCGTAATGTTTTCATGCCTTAGAAGCATTCAGAGGGAAGCAGTAGTTGACCAAAGGCATATTTGATATTAGTACATGTCCGTTATAACATCTTATTCTCGTTAAAGTTATACCAAATTTAAAAAAAAAATATATACACACACACACACACACACACACACACACACACACACACACACACACACACACATTTTCACGTTTCGCTTCTACTACATTGTTTACAACCCAAAATAACGGCGTCAACTTAAGACTTCTCGCGATAGTTGCAGCAGCAGCTGAGATCCCTGGAGCAGAGGGACTTGACATGTCAACAAAAGAGATAAATTATCACCACACAGGTAACCTACCATGTTGTAATTGTGCCGGTGAGCAAACATGAATACTCTCTGTGAGTTGATGTGGTAGAAAAATTATATATATATATAAAAAAAACCCACAAAAAATAAACGTAGAGAAAGCGAGAGTGTCGTATAGTGTGACTGTCCACTTAGCTTTTGTGACAATCACTGTACTTTTACATGAGCGATGATTAACCCGTTACTCTATTTCATGTATCTGGGTGTGTCTTTTAAAGCTCGGGGTGGCATTTGAGAGACTTGTACTGATGTGAGTTATCGCTTAAATAGATTCAAATCCGCGTAGATAACTTATTTTAAAGGCTATGGCGTTAGCACAGAGACTAACGCGTTGTTTTTGTTACTTTTTAGCACTTGTGGAGTTTTTATATAGCTGAAAATATGTTTTTATCAAACTTTAGCCTAGCTAAAAGCTAAGCTGATATTGCTAAACTCTATGCTGTTGAGTATTCACAAAGCAAGCGCAATGACCAAGACTTCCTTTAACTTCTCTAAATTTCCTTCTCTTTATCCCCTTTAAATTGCTCCCTAAAGGCATGTAAATGTCTCCTGGTGTGGAATAACCTGACAGGGAAACACGTGAACCTCCCTCCAATCCATCCTCTCCAGCAGCATCGTCACCTGCAGTCTCCATGACGACCCCTCCTCTCGTGTCACCTTTTGGCGGGCAGCCGCCACCTCAGCAGCAGCAACAGCAGCAGCAGGCTCAGGCAGCACGGGACGTCAACACGGCCTCGCTGTGTCGCATCGGTCAGGAGACGGTCCAAGACATCGTCCTCAGGACCATGGAGATCTTCCAGCTCCTCAGAAACATGCAGGTATGGTCACGTTTGTAGCTCTAGAACCAATGTGAGACTCTTAAGTATGACACAATATGAGTAAAATTAAAGGTTTGGACACGCTGTCATGAAAACAGACCAGCCAAAAGATGTAAGGGGGGAAAAAAAGAGATACTAACATAACATGATGACTATTATTCTAATAACAAAGCAAATGCCAGTCAGGATGGCAGTTCTTTATCAACACATTTTGATGCAGGATTTAAAAACAACAGGATGCCTGCAGTCTTGATGGTAAATGGGAGACGACCACAGCCAGCAAGAAGCGCAGTGCAGTTAAAAGGCCAAAATCACTTGATTTGAGAAGCCTGCAGAGGCAGTTTAAGGTTCATTAAAATAATGTGGCATGTAGATTGTATTCTGAAAGAATTTGGCAGAAAGTACAAAGATGTAAGGAAGCTTTTAATCAGTGTCTAGGCTCCAAATATGCCTTTTTCACAAATTACATTTTGACAACTAGGAGCAGGAAAAGTACAGACCCTTTTTTATGCCTTCAATCATTAAGGCAGGGAAAATACATATTAGCATAAGGCAGTGCCTCTTAAATCTGGGGACAGGAACCACAGCATAAAACTGAAGTTAAATTAATATCACTTAAAAAAAATTTTGTTTGACAAAATAAACAAGAGTTTGCTGATGCGATTCCAATCACCTTTACTTCCCAATTTTCAGTTGTTAATGATAAAAATGAGGCATGTGGGGGCCTGCCACGCAAAAATTGGAGAACTGCAAGCAGATCTTGTTCGTCTTTCTTGAGATAGGAAGTTTTTTTGGATATTTTAATTGCTCAAAGTTCAGCTTACTGTCAGGAATTTATGACCAGAAGTGCATTTTTCCATGCAGCAATGTGATATGACAACCATTGTCAAAGTGATTGCGATAAATCCAACGCTGGCTAAGCAAGGATGTTGCCTTTGTGTGGTTTCCTCCTGTGTTTGCAGGGCTTTGTTTATGTTGTCATAACAAAGAAGGAGCGCTCGTAGATAAGACTCATGAAGTCATCCTACATATATCATTGAGCTGAACGTATTGCTTTTATGTCAGATGTGTTAGTGCACTTTCCTTCCAAATGTTTTCTTTTATTTCCAAACAGTGCATCAGTCTTTACTGCATTTAAGTGCCAGCGGATGCTTGTTATTATTCCTTGAGATCATTTATTTGTGCATTAGCTTGGTCTGCAGTTCACATGTAGTTCAGCTTTGACCTCATCTTAAAGATGCAACTGGAATGAGTTTATCGTGGATGTCTGCCTGCTCCTCCGAGACGCCGCTCCCGCACCTTGTTAAGATCACAGCCAGCGAGATGGGCCGAGCGAGCGCGACCTCAGCCGCAGAATGCACAAACAGCATTGTTGTGACTTGTTTTTTTAGATCACAGGCCGCCTTTATACTTGTAAAAATTCCTCATGTGTCTTCTCCTCCCTCCACTCCTTCCATCTCCCTCTGTCTGTCTCCCTTCTGCTTCTCTCTTTGCTTGCCCTCAAGGCAGGCTTGTTTCATGCTATGCAGGATGTTTATAATCAGACAGTGCTGCTCCAGAGGCTTGTCGATCCTCTCAATAAAAAACATGTCATGCTGCTCTTTAACACCCATTGTTGTTGAAAGCCAGTTTTGCAGCCTCAGTATGGGAGTGAGTGGGGAAAAAAGAAACCATTCAAAGTGCTTGAGCTGAAGCTGTTTATCTTTTGATGCTGCGCAGTTTATGTTTGGTGCTTTAAATTGTGATTATTAAAACCACATGCCATATTGTTGCAGGATCACAAACGTGTTAAACACATTTTAAAGCGTCTTTTCAGACTGATGGCTCCCGTTCGTAAGTAGAAAGAACACTATCACTTTTTTATCAGAGGATTTCCTAATGCTTTCTTATCAGCTGGGGAACAACAGAGGCTTCGTGATGCTTTGGCAGTCAGTGAGGATCAATAAGTTTAGCTTTTTTATTAGCACTAAGAAAATTCTAGTACTTTATTTAACACAGAGTTTGGTTCTTCTTAGCTGCCTAATGGAGTCACTTACCACCCCAACACCCACCAGGACAGGCTGGGGAAACTCCAGGAGCATCTACGAACGCTTTCTGTGCTCTTCCGCAAGCTGCGCCTCGTCTACGATAAATGCAACGAAAACTGTGCCGGCCTCGACCCCATACCTCCAGAGGTGAGACACGACAACACTAAGAAATATGCTAATGACAGCTTTCTCTTACTGAAGTTATTGAATTTCTGTTAAAAGTTGGTAAAATAGTCACATTTGTGAAACTTCCTTCCATTTCCAAAGGAAACCCGTTGTGCTTTTTCCCCATTTCCTGTCACATATATACACACAGTTATATCAGTTATATTATACCACCAGTGGTGCACTTTCCATAATTATTAAAAATAAAGTTGTGAAGTTTATTAATGAAATGTTTTTGCAACATTCATCAATACAAAATATTTCAGAAGAAACATGTAATAATGAAGAATGTGTCAAAATACAATCATACAAACGGGGGGAAAAAATTAAAGAAGATTAGAAAAGCATAAATGTAAGCTCCAAATGATTGAACAGTTGGTGTATTAATATAAAACAGTCATGAAAGTGCAGCATCAAGAATGAAAATACAGTGCAACTCAGTAGTTAACAATAAAATAAAAAAGCCTTAAAGGTTTAAAAGAAAAGTAAAAAGTTATAAGAAAGCCTGCCGATATATTTAAATCTTTAAAAGAGGTCTAAAAGGAAATGGCAGCAGTTTGTTACATAACAGAGGAGCTCTAACAGCTAACCCTCAGCCGCCTTCAGTCTTTTAAGTGTGAGGTGGGAACAGTTAGCAGGTTCTTACATTGGCTGGTTGGTTAGGGGACAACAGAGTGCACTTATAAATCATAAAAGGATTGACGAGGAGGGAAAATTAATCTTAAGATGAGCCTGAAACATAAAAAGTGGAAAACTTTGAACTTTCCAAAAGGGCTTCTAACATTTCTTTGATCCGTATTTGCTGCACACGCCGGTCCTGTTGCAGAGACTGAAGCAATATGACGCACGCCTACAGTGGCGGCACGCACTGGTTGCATAACGCAGACAAAAGAAGCAGTTGGGGTTTGTTGGCTGTGATGTGGAGGAGAGGTGATGACATTGGTGCAAGTTGATTTAAGTATACAAAAGATTGGCGTGCACCTGGGAACACTGAGATTTAATCATGGGTTGATGCATGTCAGTGCACTCGGGTAAAGGTAAGGTAAAGTTAGCCGAAGAGCTCTGTCTGATTACACACATGTACTGATGCACTGAACTTTCCAATGCATTGCCAGCATGGATGTGTGTGAGGACATAAATGTCAGACTCAGTTGGACAATAAATTGTTTTTAAGTCATTAGCTCCATATTACAAAGTCAGTGTGATATGTGATATCAGGCTATGATCTGATTAATTCACCCTGAGTGAGCGAGTGTAATGTGTCCGGCTTCCTGCAGGCTCTATACAGGCACCGCCCTCACCAAAAGTAAATAAAGTATTTGCAGTAGTGAGACATGTTGATCGTGGAGTTTGTGTGTTGCTGACATACTGTCCGGAGTCCAGAGTCCACCCAGCCATGCTCAGCCTTAGAAATAACTCCTCTCCCCACCTTAAAGGCTGAGCCCGGCCAACCTACAACAACAACAACAACAATCTTTATTTATAGAGCACATTAAAAGCCAGGGGCATGCCAAAGTGCTTTACACAAAACAATAAAACAATAAAATGATTTACACTAAAACATCAGAGTCATATAAGTGTGGGATTATGTTCACAGGTAAAAACCACTAATAGGAATAATCTATAGCACACAGCTATAGCAAAGTAGAACTGTACCATCATACACAGTGATAGAGGACATAGGCAACGCAACAATAGAATAATAAAACAATTAGCACTATAACGTCAGAGTCATATAAGTGTGGGATTATGCTCACAGGTAAAACCCACTAATAAGAATAAACTATAGCACACAGCTATAGCAGAGTAAAGCTGTAAAGCTGTACCATCAAACACAGTGATAGAAAACATTGACAGCGCAGGACAACGCAAAACAACCAGACACATTAATAGAACAACTCACTAGAAGCAAGGCGAGAATTTCACTAGTAGAAAAAGCAAGTTCAAACAGATATGTTTTAAGCCGTGATTTAAAAGATTGAATAGAATCAGACGCCCGGATGCCAATCGGGAGACTGTTCCACAGCTCAGGTGCAGCTAGAGCGAACGCTCGATCACCTCTAGACTTCAAGCGAGATCTGGGCTGTATAAAGGAAACTCATTTTGGCCTCTTGTATTTGTGGCCTTACTCTTTTGGTCATTACCCAGAACTCATAATTATAGGTAAAGGTTGGATTTGTAGGTTGACTTGTAAAGTTCAGCTCTCTCTTAACCATGGCAGTCCAGTACAACGCCTATATTTCTGCTCAAACCATACCAATCTGCTGGTCCACCTCTCACTCCGTCTTCCATTCACTCATGAACAACACTCTCCCCCTCTTCACAAAAGATTAATGAAACAAACAAATAAAATTAGTGGGTAACCAGGCCCGGATCATGCTACAAACATTCTGCTTTGGATTTGGTTAGGTATTACATGTTGAAAGGAGATTAAATGAAATACACATTACTCCCAGCTTAATATAGTTGTTACCTGATAAAACACATTGTATTATCCTTTGTATTTTACATATTTTGTTCATTTGTTATTACTTTCAAGATGCTGTCTTACCTCAAATTAGGTCATGCTTTTATTATATAAAGCACACCTGCAACTGCATTTAGGTTTTACATGATGAGGCTGTAAGCGGGGAAGTGCTGATACTACATTTTAAGTTGACTGATTGATCTTTTTAGATGTGAACGTCAACAAATGCTTTATATGCTTGTCAGGATTTTTTTTTTTTTTGTGCTTTCAGCCGTCGCCTCACATAGTCCGGCTTTTCGTAAAAGCTGTCTGCTAAATTAGGAAGCTGTTGGTTTAAAGGAAGTAGGCCATTGTAACTTCCATATCCCCTTGCTCATGCACACACACACCCTCTCACAAAGCTGCTCACACAAACACACACATATTTACCCTGGGGAACTCTTATCTCACCTACTCCCTCTAGGTCTGTCTTTTCTCTGCCTGCAGCAGATTCATTGGTCGTTTCAGGTGAGTCTCCAGAGCCTCTTTACTGCTGGTTACAGTCACCATCCACCTTCAGGAGCAACAACACCACTTTGCCTCTTAGCCCCGCTCCTTCCGTGCCTGCCTTCACAGAATGATTGCACAATTGTATCCCCCCCCCCCGACACACACATAAATGTACAACATAGAAATGCAAGTGGTGCAGTGTAACTTGGCACAATAGCATGTTTTCGCCACATGTGCAATTCCACACGCACTGGCTCGCTGGGGGTGCACTCTGTGAGGCACCATGCGGGGCTCCGGCACGGCTATCCACTACTGTTTGATTGGATTTATGACTGCGGCAGTCCCTTCCCAATTTCTACAGATTGGCTCGGAGCTAATCTTTCTCACCAGACTCCTACTGAGGATAAAGGAGGATGTGGGAGGAGACCAGTCTTAAATTGGAACAAATTTGTGATGGCTGCCACCACGTACGTTTTCTGCATTGAGGAGTACAGTCAGCGAGAGGCATTTCGAACGATCTGTTCAAAGTGACTCTCGTGTGCAGTTGTGCCCTTAAATCAAAGCCGGTGACGGGTTTTCTTTGACATTTTCCTTTTGCCGTTCCTTCATTGAGTCATTACACCATCTGGCTATTTTTTTTCCTCCCCCTGCTCATTCCACCTTATTTAAATGTTTATTCATTTCCCCCCGAGGCTGAGACCCAGTCCGGTGCTGACCAGCCAATAGCTCCTCTCACCATGTTTGTCTGGGGCTGAGGGGTTGTTGATTTTGGCCCCAGCATGCATGCCATTTATCATCCTAGAGAATTCAGGTGGCTGCCTGACAGCCGCTCACTATTGGCTGCCTGAAACAGGAAGTGGAATCAATGACTCGGGCAGCGTGACCTCATCTCAGCCTAATTAGCAGCAGACCCGTTTAATGAACAGCTGGACCAACTGCACACGTCAGCGCTTTCGCCCCTTTTTCTTTCCACTTGTCGTTCGTTGCAGCTTTTTGCTTGCCCCTTCTCAGACTTTAATCTGCTTTCTTCCTTTTTAGATGCATTTTTCTTCCTCCTCCCCACATTTTCTACCACTTTCATCTTCTTTTCTCTGATATCTGCTAGATATTGGATCTCTGCTCATTTCCTTCTTTCTCTCGGGCCGGTCTGTTTGTCCTCGTTGGCTTTGTCTCTCTGTCTTTTTCTGCTTTTCCCATGTTGTTCTTTCCCTGTGGTCCCAAGTCTTGCTCTCCTCTTGTCATTTCCTGCAGTGAACAGCTATGCCATTTCATTTCCCTCTCCTCTTACACATTCACCCTGCTGTTTTTTTTTCCAGTCTTTTTTTACCCTTTTCTTTTTGTCTCACTGAGGCAACCTGGAGAACTTCATTAGGCCATTCTTCTCTGTCAGCCAGGAAACCACATCCATCTTTCTGTGGAAGAGGCAGGGGTTATGACTCACACTTTGACGTGCACGTGCTGCATAGCTACATGTACACACACACACACACACACACACAAAATACACTCTCCATCCATCTCTCCCAACCTACTCAGCACATTTCATTTTCCCCCCGCGGGCTGCCAAACTGAGCCCACCACCTTTAAAATGTGATATGTCGTTGGCTTCGGCCTCAAATTATCTAATGAAAAAACTTTCATCTTTTCCTGCTCAAAGTTGAAGGCGAGCTCATAGTTTGTCTGGTATAATATCCTGCACATGTCCTTGTCTTTTCTCCCTCCAAGAGTCAGAGTTTACAGTTTGGCACAGAGCTAAGCCTGGAAACTGACAGGAGTAAAGAAACTTTTTCCAGACTTTTATGTCTTTTTGTCATTCTTTATTTTCTTCTTTGTCTGCCTTTCTTTTTCCCGTGCCCATTTTCTGTTCTCACCTCTCTCTGGCTCTTTTCCCACGACTCTTGCCCTCTTCAGTGCTATCCTACTCTATTAGTCTCCTCTCTCTGTCTGTATTTTATTTTCTTTTTTTTATAACTTCCTTTGTGCTTGTCTTGATATTGTCTGGCTCCAGCTCTACTCATACACTAGTCAGTCATTGCTTCCAGATGAATCAGGTTACTTAAATCAGCCGTCGACTGTCTGCAGGGCCTCTGCTCCAGCTGCACAACACGGGCCAAAATCTGTAGTCAGTCATAATTTACTGCTTTGCCAAGTCATTATTGGAGGAAGGTTTGCTATTCCACCATATGGGATATTTTTTTTTATTAGCTAATGTTGCTTGGAGACTGTCCTACCTAATCTATGTTTGTGATCTTGTCTGGTATGGCAGTATTGTTTTGGAAAGGAAAACAATGTTTTTCTAGATGTTTTTTTGTAACAGGAACTTCTTGCTTCCAGTATTACAAACCATAGCAGAGTCGTCCACAGCCTTTATTAAAACCCATAAAATGTCATGCTATATAAAACTGTTGCTGTCTTTTGAGAATATGAAACTCAGGTTTGACTCCATTTTCACTGCGTGTGCTTTACAGTCTATTATTTTGTTGTTGACAAAATTCAATTTTGTGCAGTCGCTCTGCAAAGATAGCATAACATCAATCACACATTGTCAGTGCAGGTCTTTTATATCCTTGCTGTCTGTGTGTTATGAGGAACAGTGTGTTCTCAAGACATTCATAGATTACTTGATGTGTGACTGCAGCAAGCCTCCTGCTCCCCTACCCACACCGAGGTGCCCACTAGGGGGCAGTGTGACGCAAAGCAGCAGGCAGTGACCCTGTCGGCTCTCGGGAACGCTGCCTCGCCTGAAGGCTCTTGCACATCAGCCTCACTCTAGTGTCAAGCAGACAAGGTCAAGCACACAGAGTGTTTAAAAATGAATTAATCTCCCACTCGCTTTTCCCTCTCACTCCTTTCCTGTCCCTGTCTTTCCACGTTGAAGAGAGTGTTCGAGAGCTTACACACAATCCCCATTTTCACCACTTTGTGGGAACAATCGTGCGAGAATGCATAGAGATATGTTGAATATAGCTTAGTTGAGATTTCCCATACACATGTAAATGTGGCCTATAACTGCGCTCAGTGGGCGTATAGGAAAGATGTGACTAGGCAGCACAGTGCTTTTAATTTATTTGGACCTTAGACGTTAGATTGGGGAAAAACATAGAAGTAGGAAAGAGAATAATTGCATCAGGAGGTGAATCTTTAAACAGATTTTATTGAAAAAACTACGATATGGATCTTACTGTGCGACTCCAAGCAGGGAAACACAATCCAGTTATCTGAATAAGTCAGCATTTTGGGAGCGATCCTCTTACGCTTGTCTTGCTTACAGTAAGTAATACAGCCACATTTTTTTGTTTGCTGTCCCTTCCAGCAACTGATACCCTTTGTGGAAGATGACGGCTCCAAACATGAAGACCGATCAGGTGGACAGAGCCGCTCTGCCAGTGAGGAAAGGAGAGAAATCCTGGAGGTCAACAAGGTATGGTGTTCTGGATGAACAGCACAACACTGACAGGCTTACAGGTTTGATTTCCAGCCTGTAACAACACGAGGAGAAGCTTATTAGAGGAAAAATGGGAAAGGTTTGAAAAGGCTCACAGTGATATCTCAGTCTCTTTTTATTTCAGCTATAAACATGGTGTTATTTCAGTGATGTTTCAGTATCATCGTACAGACAAGACATGATAATTAGGCGTGCAATTTATTCCAGATGAATAATTTTACTCAACATCATTAACCCGAATTTTTAATTGCAGGTTTGCTCTTATTTGAATTGCAACCATCCAGGTTGTACAGAAGGTTTGTGCTAAAACAAAATTAAGAGGCCACACTTGATAAACTTTGTCTGATGATAGTGGTTGTGTGTTTAAAGGAGGTCATGATACCACTGGGAAATCCTATTAACCATAAATGCATTTTACAACATTTTCCTGGGGACTAGATTCATCCTCAGCTATCTTTTTTTTTTTTGTTTAATTTTTATCAAAACCTGAATCTCCTGGTCAGTCGGGGAACCCGAGGAGCAGTTTGAAGACCCAATATTTGAACCTAATGATATTTTTCCAACTGTGCAGGAGGAGCGTACGGTTAAAATGAAGGAGACTCATCTCATATGAGGTTTACTGTTGATGTTATTGAACCGAGCAGATATTATGTTGTGACTGATTCAAAATGAACTCAATTTGATATGTTGTGCAGCTGATTCTGTTTTAATGCGCACCACTCAAGCATCACCTCCACATTTAATCCAGCACAGTGTGGTATACAGATTTTATTGTAGTAATTATTATTGTTATTATTATTATTATTGGGTTTTTAAAAATTAATTTGAAGTTTTCTAACTTAATTCCTAATTAGTACGTTTTTGAAAAGGCTTTGTAGTCGTGTTGCACCTCGGGTGTCTCAGAGTCGTGTTCGATGTTTGTCTGTCTGCATAAAAGTGTTTAATATTAGTTTGAGTGCAGCACCTGGACTGGCTGACTGATTCTTACCATATTTAATGAAGAGGCGGATGTAATTCCAACCTCAGCCTTCCAAGGAAATACAGGGACTTTTGGGAGTATTTGTGGAACATTGGAGTGCTGATATAGACCTACAGGCATGTGATCCTTATATAATCATCATATTAATAATAAGTTTGTTGTCTTTGTTGCCAGTGGCAGGGAAATTGAATAACACATGATGTCTTCCAGGGGGCATCCCTGAGTTTTGCTGACAATGTAGTTCTGTTTAATTGCATTTTCCATGTAATTTTTGCCAATCTGGGAGTTGATTATAATGTAACTTATTTAAATGAGACCTTGGCTGAGTTGCAACTTCCTGTGAACTTACCTGTATGTTAAAAGACATGCTACCGTGTGCCTTACCCATAGACTGTACCTCAAAGATCGATGTAAACACTGCGACTACACCCACTGGTTACTGGACTATCATTTTAAAACCTCGCTATGCTGATTAGTTTAGTTTATTTGAGCCAGAAAGCACAGCAAACTGCACTATTTTTTTTGTAAAATCCATTAAAAATGCTCATACATCAAAGGCGGTGAAAACATCCAAATGAGTATATGAAATTAGCAAAGGTGAGATCTGAAAAGCAGCTGTCAGCTACAGCTTCCTGTTTGGCCTTATCAGCCATATGCCATAACTTTAAGCCTTATTCCTCAGATGGATGAGTTATAATAAAAATCTGCCCCCTGTACTGGTTTTATGGAGGAGGAAACTATCCATAGAGGCCAAAATGTTTTGGGCTTTTTTGTGCTAAGCTGTAAATATACTTTTTAATCCTGTGCAGTTTGACATTTTAACATGGGAGTCTATGGGGCATTGACTGCTTTTCAAGGCAGCCTCAAGCAGCTGCACTGGGAGCTGCAGTTTTCTGCGCTTGCTGCTTCTTAAACCCCAGAGTTTGCTACTTGGCTGTGCCTCAGTCACTCTTTGCTGTTCCCCCACAGTGCAAAGCAGTGAGTAACACTAGCTAATGTTAGCTTAGCAATAGAGTTCACTAATGGCTACTTGTTCTCAGTGCATCACTGACTGCAACACAAACTCCAGAGACAATTTAATTTGTATTTTGCTACTGACAGCGTTAGCAAGGAAGCAAAGTAAGGTTGGACACTAGCTGCTATGTTGGGTGGGTAGAAGTTTGTCTGTGTTAGCAGGTATGTTAACATTTGGTAATGTAAGCCAAAAAAAGCCATTTTATGTGATCATCCTAGCCAAACGGTTTGTGACCAAAGTAACATAAACAGGTTGTTCGATCTGTGGAGGGATCTTGGCCTCTGCTCCAGCTTAGGGATTCATTAGCAAAGCTCTGCACATCCAGTCATAGTGGTGATATTTGGATTTGTTGTGTTTTGGTCTCAGTGTTCATCTACGGTCATGAACACTGACATTGCTAAGGTGTTTGCAACATATGAAAAATAATTAAAAATAATGGCGGTAACAAATCAAAAAGCAGCGAAAATGCTTATCAGCTTTTTAGACACCTCTGTAGTATATAAATACATTTTAGATCGCAGTAACAGACTGAGCTGAGCTGACCCTCAACTACAAAGAGCTGTGTGGGGAAAAAATAGTAGCTGGAGGTGTTTTAAATATTAACAAGAAGAAAGAAGAGATGACTTGATTTTTTTTCCCCATATCTTGTGTAAGGTGTTCAAGTTTGGTTTCAATTGTCAGACATCAAACACACCTAAGAGCTTTTTTTAAATTTATTCACTGTCAGATAAGTTTTCGCTCAGCTGTGGTAGAGCGGCTATTTTCTAGCGATCTGAAGTGCAGTGCAGCTTTTCTTCGGACTGACATGCCAGCGTCAGTCAGGACTGAAATGCTGAAGGTAGATTAGATCCCAAGTCACGACCTAAACAAACGAGTTGAGTATGAGAAGTCAGTTACATGGAAATGTGGGCCCTTATATGTTAATTAAACAAATTGCACAATAGGAAATGTTGTGGATGAAGCTTTGAGAGGGAAAAGGCTTTTTAGTGTCATCTTATTCTTAAAATAAAGACCCATCCTGATTGATTTAGTAAGGCCTGTGGTTTCTTTGGTAACAGCAATTGCACTGTCAAAAATGCCAAGAAGTATTACACTCATGTCACATTTTGCAGACAAATGTATAGATTGGTTTTGACCTTGTGGATAGATGCACTAAAATTTCTGTGACAGGTTCATAATGGTGTGTTTCAAATACATTTTTTTTCTGAAGCAATAGCAGGAAATGTTGGCTGTATTGGACCCACTTTATCAAAGATTTAAAGTGATGATACTTCATTCAGCGGGGGAAAATAGACCCTATCGCTATGAGTGAAATCTCTGTAGCTACTTCAGAAAATTTAGGCTAGTATTAAAAACAGGTTGTGATTTTAGTCTTAAGGATTTGTAGCTCCATATTTTAATTGCACAAGCACAGCGAGATGTCAGAGTGGACTGTGTGGGCGTCTCCAGGTGCACTTGCTATTTTGGTGTATGTAGATCAGCATGTAAAAGAGGAGGATGAAGCTGGAGGCTGTGGTGGTTAATGAACTTCCAGTCAGTCACATCACTGATTTCATTGCGCTAAAGCAGCTGTACCAATCAGACTGCATGACAAGAGCAGATCAACAAGTGACAGCAGGCTTCTAGCAGTCTGAAAACCAGACGCAGATGGTTTGGCTTTTTGTCAGGCATGTTCAATAATGATAGTGATAAATAATACAAAATGTTGGCAAAGCTAAGAGCATTATAGCTTCACTTTTACTTTGTGTTGGGATAAAAGTCGCATGTCTACACTAGGGCTGCCACAAACGATTATTTTTATAGTCGACTAGTCACCGATTATTTTTGTGATTAGTCGACTAATCAGATCATCATCCATTGGACGTAAAACGTACAGCTTATTGCACCAGCAGCATCTGCTCTTATATAACTATCATTAGCTTACAGCTTTAAGTGTTTAAGTTCTGTGCTAACTAAAAATAAAGACAAGATGATAGTTTATTAAATTTTAATGAAATTTGCAGATTGTTTCGGTGAAGTTTAATAAACTCCTTGCTATCTAAAATATAACAGGACACCGGAGTATATTCTTGAGCGTCTCACACTTCTGATGATCAGCTGTCTGCTTGATGTTTATTCAGCTGTTTAAAAACTATAACTTTAATCTCAGCCAAACCGATTTACTCAGGAACAAATAAAATACTAAAATAAGCCAAACAATAACATTTTTAAGTTATCTAAGTGACTCATATATCATGTTTAACCTGAGCAGCGAAAGACTGCGTGTGTTTGAAAAGATCTGTCAGGAGTCCGGTGTTCTCACGGCTCTAGTTAGCCTAGCCCCCGGCTAGCTATCGAGCTAGTGGGTAACAGACGTCTCCGAAAACGTCGGAGCGCTTTTGAAAGTATGTGGTGTCTTGATAAACTGAGCAGATATTTGAGGTTTACACAGCTACATTCTCGCCTGAAAATATGTTAAACGTTTATTTTGTGACCCAGAAAGAATAATACGAGTAATATTAAAACTAACTAGCTGCCACCATTGTTGGAAACTGAGCTGGGCCGCGCTATGAATTCTGGGACACCGCTTCTTCTTCTTCAGGGTTTAACGGCAGCTGGCATCCTTGTACATGCAGTGCTGCCATCTTCTGTTCCAGTCCGTTATTACACTCTTAAATCCTGCTACTTAATCCTGCGTCTTTTGTGATCTTACAAAGCTTCAAACGACGCCTCGACTATTAAATTAGTCGTCGACGATTTTGATAGTCGACGTAATCGTGACTAGTCGCCTAATCGTGGCAGCCCTAATCTACACACAGTCATAATGAACGCGTGTCTTCCAGTTTTGAGTAGGGCTACTTTGCAACATCATGCTGTCATTTGCATACAATTAAAGGTACGGTAAGTACTGTTTTTGAGTTTATTTAAAAGAAAAAGAATGGTGAACTCATAAATGTGCCTTGATTAGTGTATAATCATGCCTTCCAACAAATTAATGCATTG